TTGACCTTCCTACATGGGTTCCCTTGTGAATGGTGCAGCCTCTGCCATGCCGGAGAAACTCGTCCAAGGATACACACGATACAACCTTTGAGCCTTAATAACGCCCTAACTAGGCCGTTTTCCGACTTGATAGCGTCAAATAGGGTATACGAGGAGGCCCCACATTTATTTTATGGGAAAAAACTCACAAACCATTTTTATAGTGAACTGTGCCCTTAATCTGTAAGCTTCTCTGTTCAAGCATAGAATCATTCTACTCTGCTCCATCAGGTCATTTTGGCTGTGTTCCTTGTATTCTCATAGATTACCTGTACAGTGCTTTCCGATGGTCAAAAAGACCCCAAGTTGAAGTCTAAAATTGTGACTCAGTTTTGAACATTTTCAATTACTATCATTTTTGACAATTTAGATGCTCCTCATTAGCAGACAGGTAATCATTTCTTTACACAGTTGTATGGTTTGCTGGACTGCCAAAGGAGGTATACATTGCAGTAACTTTTTTTGACTAATTTTCTTCTCACGAACATAGAGGTATGCAGGGAAAGAGGCGTGGACAAGCTGAATTTTTTTCTTTCAAAGGGATTTAAAACCTAAAGTGAAGAAAACAGACAGCTTACAGCACATTTAGGCTGTCTGTCTTGTTTTCACAGTTCCACCACTGCTGTTAGGTGCTTCTTTTTTCGTGATCTTGCCGAAGTTGGAATTGAGATGTTCAAATTTTATTCCAACACACAACGGAGGAAAACGCAAGTATGATTCTGGGTGTCTTTTTGGAGAAATTATGCTTTCTTCCCACCCAAAACCTACCACCGTCGTCCGCCCCACTGTCCCATAGGCCCACCCCATGGTCCTCTTGGTCCACCGAATGGTCGTCTAGGTCCGCCCCATGATCCTCTCGGTCCACCCGCTGGTCCCATCGGTCCGCCCCATGGCCGCATAGGTCCGCCCCATGGTCCCATAGGCCCACGTGGAGGGAAGCCAATAGGACCCCATGGTCCAGGCCCCATTGGTGGTAGAGGTGGTGGTGGCGGAAATGGGAATCCTGGTCCTGGAGGGAACGGGAATGGTCGAGGCCAGTTAGGTGTCGTCGTTGTTCCTGGAGCAGTTGCAGGAGTTGTTGTGGGTGTGGTTGTTGCAGATGTTACAGGTGTAGTTGTCGGCGTTGTGGACGGTGTAGTTGTCGGTGTGCT